CACAGGGACAAAAGAATGAGGGGAGGAAAAAAAAAAAAGCTATGAAAGAATGTTGGAGGTTAAAAAAAAAAGGAAGATTATAAATGCAAAAAAAAATAAATATGATAAGTATGGCAGATAAATATGGCATCAACTGGTGACAGCATGATTCCCACTGGTCTAGAATGTGTCAGTGCAGGGCTAGGTGTTCTGGATGCGAAAGGAGACAGGGCCTGGGATTTGTGAGGGAAGGGGTGAGGGGCGCTAAGCAGCCTGTTCTCCTGCAGAGAAGGTCCTTCTCCAGCCTACTGAGGACTGTGTTTTCACCACACTGGGCATCAACAGCCACCTGTTTGCCTGTACTCGGGACAGTTATGAGGCCCTGGTAAGACAAGGTTTTGGCTGGGAGCAAGGGCTGAGGGGGCACTGTGAACAGTCCCTCACCCTGCCACCAGGAGCCCAGCCCCTCTGTCCCTGCCTGTTACAGGTGCCCCTCCCTGAAGAGATCCAGGTCTCCCCTGGAGACACAGAGATCCACCGAGTGGAGCCAGAGGATGTTGCCAACCACCTTACTGCCTTCCACTGGGAGCTATTCCGATGTGTGCATGAGGTGGGGACTGAGGCTGGTGCTGGGCATGGGGCAGGAGAGAGAGAAATGAGCCAATGGGAGTCAGTGTTCTTAGCAGACCCTCCTGGTTAGATGGCTCAATTGCAGCATGCCCTTGGGCAATGCACAGTCAGGACCTCCTCAAGCCTTTGTCTTCTCAAAAAATGGCAGAGAGAGACTCCATACCTGAATGATTTAGGGCCAAAGCACAGCTTACCCAGAAACTGACTCAGGGTAATTTTAAAATATTCACTGTTAAAAGAATTTTTAAAAAAGGTAAGCGACAATAATGTCTCTCGGGTGGTTGTCTTGAGGAGAAGTCAGCCTTTAGCAGGTGCCTGGCACCTAGTAAATGCTCAATAGATGGTGATATCCTATTAACCTTGGTTCTCTCTCTCGCTTCTTGCCTCCCCGCTCACGCTCCTGCCTCCTCCATCTCCTCACGCCCTGCGCTGCCATCTTCCCACCCATGCCCTGACACCTCGGTGGCCCCTCCGTCACTGCGGGTGTAGCTGGAGTTCGTGGACTACGTGTTCCACGGGGAGCGCGGTCGCCGGGAGACCGCCAACTTGGAGCTGCTGCTGCAGCGCTGCAGCGAGGTCACGCACTGGGTGGCCACGGAGGTGCTGCTCTGTGAGGCCCCGGGCAAGCGCGCGCAGCTGCTCAAGAAGTTCATCAAAATCGCAGCCATGTGAGTGTGGCCAGCCGCGACGGGGAGAGGGGCACACAGAGGCTCGGCAGCCGCAAGCTGCCAGATGCCCCCTAACCCTGCCCCGCACTCCTCAGCTGCAAGCAGAACCAGGACCTGCTGTCCTTCTACGCTGTGGTCATGGGGCTGGACAACGCTGCCGTGAGCCGCCTGCGGCTCACCTGGGAGGTGAGGAACCACCTTCCTTCCTTCTCTTGCCATGGAGCTAGCTCAGTCATCCCGTTTCAGGGATCTTGGCATCCGGGGCTCACCCCAGTTCCGTCTCCTGTGATTACCAATAATCTTTGTGCCGTTTGGAAGCAGGCGCCCTCTTCTGGCAACTATAGCCCCAGGTCACGGCTTGTGTCACCTCTTCTTGGTGCAAATTGGTAAAAAGCCAAATTCCCAGATTGAGAGGAACTGACCTTAGGAGTAGGGCTGAGTTTCAGCCAGCAACCAGGTGGCTTTGCTATGCTCCTTGTCATAGTACATGCATGAGCAGAAGTCTCACTTTCCCCAGAAAAATTCAGTCCTCTGGGTTCTTTCAACTTCTGGACTTTTCCAAGGGCTGACTGCTTCCCCACCCACTGGCTTCCCACCGCTGAGCAAGATATGCCAGCCCTTTCCCCTTCTAATGCTGGGAATTAGTCAGATGTTCCTGTGAAATCCGAGGTGCTCCACTCTGACATCTCTTCTTCTTCCTTCAAACTCTGCAGAAGCTGCCAGGGAAATTCAAGAACTTGTTCCGCAAATTTGAGAACCTGACAGTGAGTGGGTTTGGCTCTTTCTACTGCCCTTGGACTTTCATCCCTGATCTCGTAAACCCTCTGCCTTCAGCTTCCTTTTCAAGGTTTTTAGTGCCTGGGACACTGGTCCTCTACCCACCATGCAGGAAGGGGAAGGGTGGAAGTATTGCTTCCCTGTTTTCCCTGGAGGAGAGGAGGAGAGCAATAAGCCCCTCCCTGTCACACATCCAGCTAGACACCCACACACCCCTCTAGCTGATTGGGCAGGGAGATGAGGGAAAGAGTGGGAGACATGTTTGGGGTACACTGAGCCCATCTGTCTCTTATCCCTCTTCTGTGGAATGCTAGGATCCTTGCAGGAACCACAAAAGCTATCGAGAAGTGATCTCCAAAATGAAGCCCCCTGTGATTCCCTTCGTACCTCTGATCCTCAAAGGTGAGAGAGTCACTGCCACACGGTGGTTCTCCTCTCCACATTTCCTTCTCCCAAGCCCCAGTTCTGACTCTCAGTCTCCTCTCAGCTCAGCTCTATGTGTCCTACTGAGGAGGCTTCCAGACTGAAGTATAGACTGGCATATAGGACCCTCCCCCTGAGGAGGGGGAGGGTCCTATATGCCGTGGCCCTTTGGACCTCCTCTCCTCTGTGTGCCTCAAATTTGACTCTCTTCTTCCCCTAGACCTGACATTCCTACACGAGGGGAGTAAGACCCTCATAGATGGCTTGGTGAACATTGAGAAGCTGGTGAGTGGTTCTGCCAACTCTCTGTCCATGAGTGAGGGGCTTTGTCCTCCCCCTCTCTCCTGTCACCTTCCTAAAATAGAAGTCTTCCTCCATGGTACCCAGCTTGCCTAACAGACTCTCGACTGTCTCCCTGGTGGCATCACTGTGGCAACCCACCCATGGGTGGCAAAGCTGACAGGCCGCTTGGGGGCAACTCTACCCGCCAACCCACCTGGTACCCACCTACACCCTCTCCTTTGGTCCTTCAAAAACCCTTCAGAACTGGGAACTTGAGAGAGTAAAACCAACAAAGTTGGAGAATGGAGGTGGGGGTGTGTATAAGGGGGAAGCATCTTTCTGTGCCCTTTTCAGGGCTTATTTCTTGTCATCTCCCAGCATTCAGTGGCCGAGAAAGTGAGGACAATCCGTAAATACCGGAGCCGGCCCCTCTGTGAGTGCCCAGTACCCAGGGTTCTAAGAGTGTTTTGGGTGGAGCACTGGCTAAGTGGGAAGGTTAAGGGGACCTCTGTCCTTAAACATGTTTTTACTTACACGGGTCGGGTCCGTCCTCCATTCTCTCCTTGTGCCTCCTGCCAAACACCTATCCTAATCTTAATGCTTTGCCTGGTGTATGGAGAGGAAGAAGGGAGGCTGGGAGCCTGACTGCCTCTCCCTCCCTGCCCCCCAGGCCTGGACATGGAGGCCTCCCCTCACCACCTGCAGACAAAGGCCTATGTGCGCCAGTTCCAGGTCATCGACAACCAGAACCTCCTCTTCGAGCTCTCCTACAAGCTGGAGGCTAATAGTCAGTGAAAATGGAGGGGCTGGGCTGCCCCCACCAGAGTCCTTGGCACCTGGCACTCAAGCACTTTGCACGATGTCCCAACAAATTCACATGGAATATATTTCCTCTGGAACAACTTCCTGCCCCATGGGGAAGAGTCAGATGGACTTACCTCGATTCATAAGCTCATAAGCTTATTCATCCTTCTGAAATCCCTTTACCCTTGCTCTTTCACGCCCCAACTACACTAGGTGTGTTCCTGCCTTTTTGAGGAAAAGGGGATAGAGTGCTCCTTCCTCTGTCACCTCCCAGTGAGGTCTGTTCCAGAGATGGCATTTCCAGCCTCTTCTTCCCAAGCAGCAACTCACAAGACAGGCATTGTGGGAGGCACTGACAGCTTTCTTCCCCACTGCCTGTCTGGCTTCCCCTTAGTCAGGGTTGGGAGCTCTGGATATATCCCTGGGATTATTATCGTGTGTGTGTGTGTGTGTGTGTGTGTGTGTGTGTGTGTGTGTGTCCCCTCTCCAGGAGCAGGAGTGCATCTGGCGATGGAGGGAGGGTGTTATGTGTGCTGGGGGCGATTTTTCCTTCTGTTTGGTGCTACCCTTGTCTGCTCTGCCCTAGGGATAGCGTAGTGTGCTCCCCCACCCACTCCCGCTCAGTGCCTCCTGCTGCCCTGCATGCCCAGGCTTGTGAGCCAAGCTGCTCCCAAGGGCAAAGAGCAGCAGCAGGTGGGAGGGTTACCCATCAGCCCTGTGAGTCTCCCACCCAGACCTCCCCAAGATCCCTAGATGGGCTCTCATGAGATGGTAAAAGATGCTCAGGGAAACACAGGCCTAAGCTGCCTATAGGACCCTTCCTCTGCCTTGCAGAGGGGCACAGCAGTCTCAGGAGTTAGGGGTGCCTGCTCTCCCTACTCCTGCTCTTTGGAGTGTCTCTTTGCTAACAAGGGCATTGTCATCCCCCTTCTGGCTCTTGTATCTGATGCTAACAACACAGTCTCTGTCCCTTTCTCCCAGTCTTGACACCCCTTGGTCCTCCCCATAGAGCTGGGTGGGGTGGATCTCTGTAAAATAACAGGACAGGCAGATTCCTGAAAGTGGGGGGAGAAGGAGCAGGCAGAGCCTGTAGAGGTGAAACTGGACTCTGACAAAGCCTTTGTTACCTCTGTCTCTGCTCCCTCTCCCATTATAGGGCTCCATGGCTGCAGGGTGCAGGGGCTCCTGGCAGCTACTGGGTGAGGTTTCCTGGCACAGCCTCACCCGCCTTCCTGGCACTACTCTTTCCCTTTTGAATAGGCAGTGGTGGCAGTGGCAGCAGTAAAAGTGGCTGCTGCTCCTGCTCTGGGGTGTATATATTTTTTACCCAAAGCTCTGGAATTGTAAATTTATTTTTTAAAACTCAAAAGAGGGAAAGAGCCTTGTATAATATGTAAACATTGTATCATAGGTTATGTTGTACAGTCCCTTTTATACAGAGGTCTGGTTCCTGTTTCAAAAACTATCTGTGGACATACACAGGCACCATGCCCCACCCACCCACTGCAGCCCTCACAGTGACCATGGCCCCTCCTACACCCTGCAACTGCTGATGCCTGCTTCTATCCCTGAAGCCCTGGACTTTCCACCCTTCCTCCTGAACCCTCTGAGCAGCCTTCTCGCTCCAGTTCCCCACCCCTCCTTGAACATGGTAACCCCCTGGCTGCTTGCCCCTTGCCTTGACGCTGCCCTGCTGCTTTCCAGGGGCTCGCCAGCCCACACCCCACTTCCCACAGCTTTAACAGAGTGAACTGTGTGTATTGTACAGGCTCGGTTGTCATTGCAGAATCTGCTGGGTGGAGAGAAAGCCGATAAAGTCTATGAATCAACTGCCTGCTGTTCTCCGTTCTGTTTCTCTGAGGCTGGGGAAAGGCTGAGGGATGGGAGAGGGAATGGCCTCTCAGGGCTCAAGGTCCCTCAGCAGGACTGTCTGGAGTGACTTGGAAAGTGTGGGTGAGAGGAAAAGGAGCCAACCTCACAAGACCTGTCACTAGTGACTAGAACTTGGAAGAGTGGACATTTTTGTTCTTACATGGTATACGTATGTGATTGGTGTTTAATGCTAACTCCGTAAGGTAGAAGATGGAGACTGAGCAGCCCCAGAAGAAGATCCAAGTTATAGGGTGAGAGATGGGACAGAACTTGAACCCCAACCCAGGCCTATCTGTTGCCTATTCATTCAGCCAACGGCTATGAGTTCTACCAAGGCACATGGAGATGGTTAAGCTCCAGGAAACACACACTCAAACAGCTGCATGGGAGCCCTTAATCTCATCTGTTCAATCTTCTTCATCTCAGAAAACAGTGCTTTCATCCACCCAGATTTTCAAGGCAACATTCTAGGAATCACCCTTGATGCCTCTTTTTTTTCCCCCCATCCTCACTCATCTCGTTGGCCAGTCCCACCAGCTATAATTCCAGAACATATCCTGATTGACCCACTTCTCTAAGTCTCCCTTGTGACCACCCTAGTCCATCCCATCTTCTTTGGATGGCTACACAGCCTCTGACCTTGTCTCTCAGCTTCCTCTCTCTAGTCCATCCCATCTGCTACCAGTCAGGACTCCATAGGGCAGCCAGATGCTTTGTGTGTGTGTGTGTGTGTGTGTGTGTGTGTGTGTGTGTGTATTGCCTCACACATACTAGGCAAGCACTCTGCCACGGAGCTGCTACATTCCCAGCCCTGAGTCCCATTAAGAGAAGTTGAAGTAATCTTTACATGAGAAGTAAAAATAGTGGTTACTCAATGGGGTGGGAGGATCAACCAGGCAGGGGCATGAAGAAGCCCTCTTGTGTGATAGAAATGTTTTTATATTGTGAACATTATTATGAATATACTATGAACATTACACAGGGTGTATATGCACTCATTGGGTTCATAGGGTAAGATCTACATTTTATCATAGTTATGTTATAGCTCAAAGCAATTCAGATTGTAATCCTAAATTCAGAGTGTCACCCATTTTCAATAATACTTAGATTAAAAATCAAAATCCTTCCTCCCTGTCCACATCTCCTACCCTTTTGTCACTCACTCACTCTGCTCTAACTACACTGATCACTTTCTTGTTCCTGAATCACCTAACACTCATTTTTACATTTGCTGTTTCCTCAGCCTTGTCTGACCATTTGATATCAAGATCCCGCCCCTCCCTCACTGCCCCTCCAGAGCCTCCTTTTTTTCCTTCCAGGAACTCCTCATACATGTTTCTTTGTATATTTGCTTAGTGTTTACCTGCTCCACCTTAGCTCCATGAGTGTGTCTTGTTCATGATCTAGTACTCAGAATTATATCTGGTCTATAGAAAATGTTCATTACATATTTTTAAAAATATTTGTGTATTTTTAGTTGTAGTTGGACACAATACCTTTATTTTATTTATTTTTATGTGGTTCTGAGGATCGAACCCAGGGCCTTGCACATGCTAGGTGAGCACTCTACTGCAGAGCCACAACCCTAGCCCTCAATACATATTTAAAAAATTTTTTTGTAGTTGTAGATGGACAGAATGTCTTTATTTTATTTATTTTTTTATGTGGTGCTGAGGATCGAACCCAGGGCCTCACGCATGCTAGGCAAGCACTCTGCTACTGAGCAACAGCCCCAGCCCAATACATATTTCTTTTTTAGTTGTTAAAGAACCTTTATTTTTTATTTATTTATATGAGGTGCTGAGAATCTAACTCAGTGCCTCACACATGCCAGGCAAGCGCTCTACTACCGAGCCACAATCTCAGCTCTGTTTAAGACATATTTGTTGAGTAAATAATGAGATTGGTTGAAATGGGAGCCAGAAGACAGGCACAAGACACAAGATGATAAGTGCTCTAGGGATTAAGCCAAGGGGGTTCACTCTTGGCCTGGGGATGGGGAGGACAGAATAAGAGACATTTTCTTGGAAGAGATGACCCAGACCTCAAAGGAGGGATCGGGTTTGGTAGTGAAAGCATGGAAGTGGGAAATTAGGGATGAAGCACTGGAAAGCACTTAGGAACTGGGCCTTTTTAGCATGGAGAGCTACTTCTGCCCTGTAGGACTGGTCATTAGGGGAGCTAGAAGTGTGGAGGCTGAATAGGTTCTGCTCTCCTCAAAGGGTGCTGGCATCTCACTGATGGACTCCTTGAGCAGGTGAGGATGGAGTCCTTGTTGCCTCTGTTCCCCAGGAAGGCAGACAAATGGTGTGGATTATTCTTACCCCATCTCAGCCACCTTCAGACTCATCGTTACCTATTTTTCAGAGGCGATAACAAAAGTTGCCATTCTTTGTGCTTGGCTTTGTGTGCATTCTCTTATTTAATATTCCCAACAACCTTTGAGGTTGGTTCTATCCGCTCCACTTCCACTTTCCTGATGAAGAATTGAGGTCTTGAGATTTTTTTTTTTTTTTTTTTTAAAGCATAGGCAGGGGGCTGGGGATGTGGCTCAAGCGGTAGCGTGCTCGCCTGGCATGCGTGCGGCCCGGGTTCGATCCTCAGCACCACATACCAACAAAGATGTCGTGTCTGCCAAGAACAAACTACAAGATAAATATTAAAAAATTCTCTCTCTCTCTCTTAAAAAAAAAAAAAGCCAATTCATTTCTGACTTTACAGCCTATACAGCTCACGCACTATAAATCCTGGGAGTCTGAATAGTTGAGAATTATCTGCTTTGTTGCAGGTGGCTGTGGCTGGCAGAACTTTTTCTTTTCTTTCCTTTTTTTTGGGGGGGGGCTAGCAGAACTTTTTCTATCCATTTCTTTATCACACCTGTTATTAGAGAGTCACCCAAGATCAAGAAGTAGCATCAAAAGGGCTCTGTGGGCTAAGGCTGGGGGAATATGAGCTTATATAGTAGCCTAGCACCTCCTAGACTAGTCAGCAATGAACAAAAGGATGAAAATGATCCGGAGTGGTCAGAAGACCAACATAATAAGGTACCCTTTTGATGGGGTATAGAGAGGAGAGCAAGGAATTTAGGCAGTGCCCTAGTCTTCCACTAGGTGTCACCACTAGAATTACTTTCTCAAGGTACCTGGGGATGGGGACTAGCCCACAGCGTAGAGAAGGGGAATTTACATTTCTTGGGGTCATTTATTTATTTATTTATTTATGGTAGTACTAGGGATTGAGTCCAGGGGCCCTTTACCCGTGAGATACACCCACAGCCATTTTCTTTCTTTCTTCCTTTTTTTTTTTTTTTTTGAGAGAGAGAGAGAGAATTTTAATATTTATTTAGTTTTTAGTTCTCGGCAGACACAACATCTTTGTTTGTATGTGGTGCTGAGGATCGAACCCCGGGCCGCACGCAGGCCAGACGAGTGCGCTACCACTTGAGCCACATCCCCAGCCCGCCATTTTCTATTTTATTTTATTTTGGTGGTCCTGGGGATTGAGCCCAGTGGTGCTGTACCACACAGCTACATCCCCAGCTTTTTAGATTTTTATTTTGAAACAGGGTCTTTGCTAAGTTGCTGAGGCTGACCTCAGACTTATAATCCTCCTGTCTCAGCCACCAGAGTTGCTGGGGTTATATGTGTGCCTCAGCCTGCTCCTTATAGGTGTAGTTCCTTGGTTGTCACTTAAGCCCTTTCCTCTTTTCTCTATAATTTTTTTTTATAAATTTTTTTTTAAAGAGAGAGAGAGAGAGAGAATTTTTTTTTTAATATTTATTTTTTAGTTTTCGGTGGACACAACGTCTTTGTTTGTATGTGGTGCTGAGGATCGAACCCGGACCGCACGCAGGCCAGGCGAGCGCGCTACCGCTTGAGCCACATCCCCAGCCCCTTTTCTCTATAATTCTGAGCTAAGATTTTATTATTATATTTCTGTTTGGGGAGCTCTTGCTGCATAACAAACTATTCCAAACTGAGTGGCTAACAGACAACAATCATTTTATAACTTCTCATGAGGGCTCAGCTGAATGGTTCTTTTCTTTCTCTCTCTCTCTCTGTACTGGGGATTGAACCCAGGGCACTTTACAACTGAGCTATATCCCCAGTCCTTTTTATTTTTTATTTTGAGGCAGGTCTCACTAACTTGCTTAGGGCCTCTCTACAGTTGCTGAAGCTGGTCTCAAACTTGCAATCCTCTTGCCTCAGCCTCATGGAATTGCTGGGACCTGTAGTCTTGGCTTGGACCTGGGACTTGGCTCAGGGGATGATTCTGCCGGTCTTGCTTTAGGTCTCTCACATGGCACTGTCAGAAGCTATCTGGAGCTAGACTGTCTAGGATGGCTGGCTCCCAAGTCTCTCACCCTGATAGGAAGAGCTGGGCTGCTGAGATGGCTGGACCTTTCTCTTTCTCCATGCCAAGGTCTCTTTTTCCAGATTTCTCATAAGGGATCTTAGAGGTCTCCACCAGGCGACCAGCACGCTGGTTTCATTAAAGAGGTCCGTAGCATAGAAGTTAACTAGTGAGATAAAAATAAAACGCACAGACTCAATTACCTTTTTATTTGTCCAGGTCCCAGACGGCCCTCCCTCTGGCTCTCGCCTCGAACCATCCGGTGGGGCAGCAAGGCTTACTCAGGACTAGCAGGAGTGAGAGAGAGGGAGCACACCAGGGAGTGGCCTTTTATTGGGGAACAAGAAATTCAGGGGAAAATTCCATCCAATGAAGGTCGAGGGGGCAGCATTCCAAGGTAAGGGTCAGTGATTGGTCTCAGGGTCAGTGGTCAGTCACACCCCCACAGGGACAGACTCTCCCACCTGGAGAGGGTGGGGATAGCTCTGACACAGTTTGGCCAGAACCCCTCACACCTGAACAGGGAGGTGCCCAATCACGTGCGAGAATGGCTTCCCACAGAGGTCCTGAGAGCACAACAGTGGAAGCTGCCAGGTCTTCTTTAGGCTT